AACACACACACACACACACACACACACACACACACACACACACACACACAAACCACTGCGTGGTGATGGTTCTAGATAAGTCTCACAATGTATTATACAACAGTGACCTTTTTCACATCGTTCGCTCCAACAATAACCTGGGCCACACTATATCGTTTACCACGGAAAATAAAGTAGGCCAACAGAAAAGTCGGCATATTTAATCGGGTCGGTTTTTTTTAAGCTTCGGCCTGTCGGTAGCAACAAGTACGTAGGCCTTGTATGCCGGAAACGATCGGACCGAATATTGCCAGACTGGTCAAAAATCGGGTCGGTTCATCAGGTTTGTCAGTGCGCACGCGGCCTAATATATAAGGAAGGTGAAGCCGTGTGTTGGGGTCACAGCTGGCTTTTCCATACTCCATACTCCATACCAGTCGAGCGTAGTGTGTGCGTGCAGTGCAAGATTTTGTGTGTAAAGTGAACGTTTACTGTGTAGAGTGTAGGGCAACTGACTGCTCGCTAAAGTACTAGATCTAGATCTAGCTCCTTTATCGCTGTACGAACGCTTGTTGTGTTCTTGTTACTGACGTTCTGTCTGTCTTCTGTGTGCTTGCAAATCGCATCCGAAGGTAAGATATAACTTTCTCACTCTCACTCTCACCACACTTTCCTACTCATGTACTTAACTACTGTAATATAAGCTTAATAATAGATCTAGACTCTAGATCTCTCTATAGCTTGTTTTGTTTTCTGATAGAATGCAAGAGAGTTTGTGCACGTTTATAATGCGTTGATATTTCATTATATTGCTATTAGGCTACCATTTAAGAAGCAAAAGAAGAATAGTGCGTCCGTCTCTGTCTGATGATGACCAATGCATCTAGTGATTCTGCAGAGTGGCAGAAGAGAACCTTAAAGCGTAATAGAAGAAATTTATAAAGTATTAAGAATAGAGGGTTTGTGGCTTCTGCTATTCATGAACATGATCTATATGAGACTAAATCTGACTGGTAGATAAAAGTTTGCCAAACTTTGATCATATACATATATTATATGAAAAAAAGCTTCATTTCCACTTTGAGTAGCCTAATATCGCGTTGGTATAATATTGCTTTGACTGTCATGGAAGATCTGTCACTGCTGAGTAGACGACAAACAATCTGAGACTTACTTTGCTAAAACTTACAGAAAAAGCCCAAAGTGTATCGCACGATTAAGGACTGCTCTGCACAAGTAATAATATAATCGTTGAGATTTGTTTCTGCATAACTGCCAATAAAATCTCCGCCTAGTTCGCTATTGTTTGACCCAGCATCCATTAACCGTTAATTAAGTGGTGACAGGATGTTCTCTCTCTCTC